CCAGGGTGGACTATGTGGGAATCAGGCAGCATAGCCATTATGCTAACTGCTGGTTCCCTACATTCAGTATATATTAAGTGGGGACATGCAATGCCTATCCTTCATACTCTGGCTTGCTTCACTTAGCATTAAATCTTCCAGATTTGTCCACTTTGTATCAGATGTCAGGGTCTCATTGTTTTCTATGGCTGAATAGTATTCCATGTAGTGTACATGTTCCATACTTTTTCAACCAATTCATCTTTCTGTGGACATTTGAGTTGATTCTATGTCTTACCAATTGTGACTAAATACTGCAATAAATGGATGTGGAAACACTGTTCTGACTGAGCAAAAAAGATTACCTCACTTTTTTCAATAATATATACCTAGAAAATAGGTACTTTTACCTAGGACTTAAAATTGTTGGACAGTGGCTTTTTTAACACCTCATCCAGCTTCCCCAATATCAGCCCAAAGCCAAGCTTCACATAGGATTCTCCATGGCACTACAGCTACCACAGAGCCTAGCCCAGTAACTATGGATGCAGCAGCCACAACCAACATCTCAACATTCCATCTGGAACCTAGCCAGCACCTGACATTCTGGATTGGTAAGATATATGGCTGGGCAGTGGGGCAGATTTGAAAACTAAATATGCTAATCTCCATTACTTTCTAACAGTTATTATTATTACATCTGCCCTGTCCCCCACCACCACCTTTTTTTTTTTTAAAGAGATTTTTGCTGTAGGATGCTTGCTGGAGAGACAGAGAAAATGAGATATCCCTCCCTGGGGGACCATACCAAAGTTCATTCTCCTCCTCTTGGAATTTTGGGCATGCATACACATGCTTCTGGTATGAGTTTGAAACCTCCTAGTCTGGCACTCAAACCACAATCATCCATGTGGGTTCTTGGCCACCCAGCATTTTTGCAAAAGCTCCTTGTGTTGTGATTTTCACATCTACTATGGACTTGAACATTACTAGAGTCTCCATGTGTATATTGCTAAATCAAATATTACCATATGTCTATACATAATAAGCAGGTATCTTTTCATTTTTGTGTCTGTTATGTTTTGTTTGTTTTTACCGTGATCCCCAACCTCCCACCCCCTATTACCAATTCATTATCCACCCCTTCCTATACCATTTCTAGTGTCTACAGTTGCCCTCCCTGCTAATATGCCTTCCAGCCTTTTTGTTTCTGCCATAGAGTACAGACATTCAGTATTTTTTTGAGAGGTTTTCGCTATAGGGCGCGTGTGCTCGCCAGACAGAGAGAGACATAGAGACAGAAAGCGAGAAATCACCCCCCAGGGGGGATGGTCACGCCGCAATTCCTTCTCCTCCATTCTCCTCTCAGGATCTTGGGCATGCACGAACATGCGCCCGGCGTGAGTTTTAAGCCACCGAGTCCGGGATGCAAACGCAAACCGCAGTCGACTATGTGGGAGTTCAACGCCATAGTCATTATGGTAACTGCTGGTTCCCTATATTCAGTATATATTAAGTGGGGACATGCAATGCCTATCCTTCATACTCTGGCTTGCTTCACTTAGCATTAAATCTTCCAGATTTGTCCACTTTGTATCAGATGTCAGGGTCTCATTGTTTTCTATGGCTGAATAGTATTCCATGTAGTGTACATGTGCCATACTTTTTCAATCAATTCATCTTTCTGTGGACATTTGAGTTGATTCTATGTCTTATCAATTTTGAATAAATGCAGCAATAAGTGGATGTGCAAACACTGTTCTGAGTACATTCCTATCCTTTGGGTGGAATAAATGCTGCAATAAATGGATGTGCAAACACTGTTCTGACTGAGTACACTCCTATCCTTTGGGTAGATACCAGAGTAGAATTATTGGATCATATGGTATCTCTATTTGTAGGTTTCTAAGGAACCTTCATATTGTTCACGGTGATTGTAATAATTTACATTTTTACCAACCATGTAGAAGGATTCCCCTTTTACCACAGCCTAACCAACACTTTATTTTCATTCTTTTTTTTTTTTAGATTTTTTGTTTTGTTTTGTTTTGTTTTGTCACAAGGCACATGCACTTGCCAGAGAGAGACAAAGACAGGGAAAATAGGAAATCACTCCCTTGAGGCGTTGTCACACCACAGTCCCTTCTCTATTCTCCTTTCAGGATTTCAGGCATGCATGTACATGTGCCTGGAGTGATTTCAAGCTGCCAAGTCCAGGACTGGAACGGTGGTTGACCAAGTGAGAATCTAGTGCCTTAAGCACAATGACACCTCTTGGACCCATCATTCTTTAATTTTTTTTTCAATTTTAAAGAGATTTTTCACTAAAGCATGTGTTGCACTTGTTGGAAAGAGAGACAGAGATGGAGACTTTGAAAGGGAAACTGAGAAATCATTTTTCCATCCACCCCCAAGTGTGTAGGGCCACATCACAATCCCTTCTCCATTGTCCTGGGATCTTGGATACATGTACCTGGCATGATTTTTTATTAGTGGTTTTCTTTTTGCTTTATTTTAATTTAAATTTATTTACATTTATTATTATTTATTTACATTTATTACATTATTCACTGTACATCATTACAGTACAAAATGAGATTTTTCCATCCAGAATACACTGTCTATTGGCTCAATCAAACACATCAACATATATGTTATCATCAACAAATAGTTTTCCATTTCTTGTTTCCTGTATATTTTGCCTTTTTTTTTTCTCATCCTTGATTCCCTATCTCTCACCCTCTGCCATCTCCTACCCTCCTCCCACACTGTCTCTGTTATCTGTGGTTGCTTTCTATGCCTTTTTCCCTCCACATTTTATTCATTCACTAAAGATCTTAATTAATCTAAATATTTTGAATAGCAAGCACTGGTGTTATATACATCTCCATGAACACAAGTCTGACTTTAGGCATAAACCTCAGTGAGTAGAATGAACATACTATAAAGTAGCACCTAGCTGGGGCTATATATCTTATCATATAGGTATTTTTAATGCATTTTTTTATTTCCAGAAAAATAGTTTTATGTTTTTTTCTGCAACTTTTTTTTTAACTTAATTTACATTCATTCCCTAAGCATCATGATGGCATACAAAATATGATTTGCCATCCGGAATATACTGCTAAATGGATTTATCATGTATGTTATTGTCAAAAATTTTCCATTTCTAGTTTATATATATATAACATCTCTGATGTTTACAATTGTTTTTCATTCCTCTTCCCCCCACTTTGTATTAATCACACAATTTCTTAAATAATATAACTACTTTCAGTAGCAAGTTCAACTGGTAATTTCAAGAAAAGCCATTTTAACTTAAAGAAATGCTAAGGAAATTTGCTTAATACTTAAAACCAGGAAACAGGTTAGGATTCTGTTGAAATGGTAGGTACATGAAACTATTTAACTCTAAAGACAGACCACATGAACCTATTGACATCTCAAGACAGACAACAAATCCTTAAAACTGGACAACAAAGCCTAGAAGAAAACCAGCAATGTTACAGTCAAAAGTCATAAAATTCTGTTTCACCAATTCAGTCCCATGTACTTTATCTTTTATTGTGGTTCGATTATCCTGATTAAATTCTGGGATATAATATTCAACTCCAGACTTGTCCCTACTACTAAGTTGGCCATTTTCTTAGTTTTTGAACTCATTTCTGTGTGTCTGTATATAATTTTCCTGATATAGCACTCCCTTGAGAACTTCTTGGAGATCTGGTGTGGTGCTGGTAAATTCTTTCAGGTTTTGTTTATCTGAGAATGTTCTTGTCTTTTCTTCCCACATAACTATAATATATGGTCGGTTATAAAGTTTTGTATCAACCACAAGTTAAGTCTCAGTATAGCTGGACATTAATATATGACGAGGTTATATTTTATTTCATTAGAGAAAGTTAAATTGTGCAATAAAATCTAATATAAGTGGTGATCTAGCCAGAAGAATATGGAGTTAATTACCCATTTCACACACTTTACAATGATCAGAGGTTGTGAAGACATTTGCAGAAAAGTACAACTTTCATTTTAAATGGACATCTAGAATATATAATCTATGGCCAAATCTATGAAACCATCTTAAGTCAGAAAACTGAAAAGAAAATAGATATATTTGAGGATGAGTTTTCAATACATTTATAGAAAATGGACTATGTCTGGATTTTAAATGCTTTTGAATCAAAATTAACTCAAACTTTTAATTCCACTTTTTCCCAAGATTTTTCTATACATACATAGAAGAACTAAATGACTAAAAAAAAAAGGCAAGTGAAGACATAAAAACTCTCAAATACACAATTTGAAATGATTCACTCAAAAACAGGAATAAAAATCACACCAACACAAAATAGGGGATAGAGAGTTAAAGAAAAATTGATTACTGGATACGAAAATTACAGACAGATAAAAGGAACAAATTTTACTGTTAATAGTTAATTTATTGCAAATCTTAGATTTTCTTTAAAAAAAATTGTGGCCAGCTGATGGCATAGTGATTGAATTGGCTAGATACCACGTAGCAAACTGTGCACTTTAAATCCCTAACTACAGCTTGAAAAACACACTCGGCATGTGTGCATGCATGTCAAAAATCCTGAAAGAAAAAAATGGATGAGAGGGGATTGTGACATGGCCATCCCCCAGGCAGGTGCTTTCTCACATTCTGTTTCTCTCTTTGTCTCTCTTGTCTGTCTCCACTAAGCACAAACCTTTTAGAAAATTTCAAAAAAGAGACAGGATATGATTGTTCCCAATGCAAAGGAATGGCAAATGGGAACCAAGGCCAAAGACTGCTTTGAAACCTGCACAATCTTTTCATCCCCTCCAGGTGCCACTCCCTCTTGCTTTCAAATTCTGCCCCACCATTCTTCCTGGCTCCTGTGCAGCAGAAGTGAGTGAGCAAACTAAGGCCAGAGGCCACCATGGAAACTCCAATCTCTCCCATTCATTACAGACTTCATAATTTTCTAAGCTATGATCCTTACTTTCTTCCTCAGTTGAAACCCAGTGGCTCAGCCCCAGGTGCATCTGATCTATAGAATCTGGGGGACACTTGGAACATCCAGTACCAGCAACCAAAGTACAGGTTTCAGGATGAGCACCAGGACATAGGGTTGCAAAGAGATCATGGATCACATCCTCTCACATGATTTCGAACACTCAGTTAACTCTAAGAAACAAGGAAGAAACATATAATCCATCCAATATCCAGAAAACAGCAAAGAAGCACAAGAAAGATGAGAAACCAAGAAAATGTCACTCCCCCAAGAGATAATAATAACTTCTCATCACCCACAGACAGTAAAATGGAACTCATGGAAATGGCACATAGACAATTCAGAATATTCATAGTGACAAAATTAAATGGGATACTAGAGAAAAGAGACAATAAACTCCAGAAAATGCAAGAGAAGAGAGACAATGAACTACAGGAGATGCGGAAGTCCTGTCACAATTTGAAAGAAGAAAGAGACACCATAAAAAAAGAATCAAACAGAACTGTTAGAGATGGAGGTTATAATACAGGACATCAAAACCTCCCTTGAAGGTATTAAAAGCCAATTAGATCATGCAGAGATTGAATCTTGGATGTAGAAGACAAAACCTATGA